TGTCACAGGACTGGCTGATGAATGAGCCAATAGTTGGGCTCCTTCCTGCTCCCCCACTGCGGGAGGGCTCGCCCAGCAGAGGACTCTCTAAACCCATCCAGTCACAACACGGGAGGTGGGAAAAGGTCCTCTGATCGTTTGCTCCCTGTTTCTGCGAAGAGCTACCTTCACTAGGGGTCCCTGCAGCCGGAAGGGCCTGACGCAGGCCTGAGCTTCTCCACCCTCCTTTCGCCCCAGATTTTTCCTCCTCAGATGAGGAGGAAAGCGTAGAGGCCACAGGGGAGCAAAGCGCTGACAGCCATGCTGGGCCAGCACCCACTTCTCACCTTACAGCTTGGGGACAGGGACAGTAAGGCTTTTAGAGGCAGGGCCCCGGACCCAGCATCCTTCGGTGGGCCCAGGGTGCCCCCTTCCAGACGCACGAGAGGCTTGGAGTGCAAACCTCTCTATTCCAGGTGGAAAGGGGCTGAGGTGAAGGTGGGGCCGTCCCAGCAGTCACCCCTGACCTCAACGACACCTGCTTCGTAGGTAGAAGGCTGGCCTTGGCCTCTACAACCCCCTTTCCCCCACAATCCCCCGCAGTGCCCTATGCCAGCCTTTAGTGTCAGAAGAATAGGCTCCCAAGTACTCCACGCCTGCAAGTCCACTCCCGAGCTCACTGAATTTTCACGACAACCCACAGATGACTGGTCTTATCGGCTAGTGTACAGATGTGGAAACTGAGGTTCCAAAAGCTTCAGTCACCTGCCCAAGGTGACAGGGCTAGCACTTGGGGACAGCCAGCCCCGGTCTGCGGGACTCCCCAGCCTGTGCACTCAAGCCCCTCTGCCCCCGGCTGGCTTGTACCACCTGAAGAACTCAAGAAATGGCAGGCAGGCCGTGCTTCTGCTAAGCTCTCCCAGCTGACATCCGTATGGGAAGGAATGACATTGTTGGGAGGCAGGAAAAATTCCCAGGGCTGGCTCTCATTAGACAAATGGAAAAGAAACACAATTTGTCAATGGCGGAAGGCTGCATCTGATCTCCTCTGATCGATTCTGTCTGGTTTAAGGGAAAACGGCTGCAGAATGAGCCACGCTTAACCTGTGATCGCTAACTGCACAGCGTGGCCTGCCGAATTTGGGCTAAATGGAAACTGGCTCCATTTGGGGCCACTGTCTGGGGCATCTGGATCACGTGAGCCAGCTGCCTGCCGCTCTGCCCGTCCAAACGCCAGAGCAAAGGACATTTGCCTACCATGTGGGAGGTAGAGGGTTAGAAGGCTGGGATGTTAGAAGATAATCCTGAGTAGCCAGGGCGGGCGGATTCATTTCAGTTTCTGCTCCACATTTCCTGGGCCCCAAGTCACTTCCAGAGCCTGGGCAGGCACTGGGCATACAGATGGGAGAAAGACGTTGTCCCTGTCTGGTCCCCGGTCCCTCCTGTTTACCAGGGAAGACAAACCCAGGAAGAGGTGAGAGCCAGGTGACAGGCGTTTGAGCAGAGACAGGAAAGCAGGTGAGCTCCATGAGGGACAGGATTTGGGTCACAAGAAAGAAATGCTTTGGATTATTGTCCATCCAGATTTGGGGGTCCAGCATCATTGCAGTGAAAGCTCATGGACCCGTGCTGGGGTCGCAGACCAGTGCCTGGCACTTGGTGGTGAGCAGATGAATACCGAATCCTGACTCCACCACTCACTAGTTGAGTGACCTGGACCAAGTCGCTTCTCTCTCTGACTTTGGTTTTCTCCTCTGTGCAGTGGGGATCGTGGCGGTACCTGCCACTCCTAGCTACTGGGAAGGTCAAAGAAGACACAACTGGAAAGCATTATCACAATGCCACGAAGACCTCTTGACAAATGCCAACAATGATGATTATTAGGAAAGGCCCCAGTTGCTCCTATGGGCCAGGCTCTGGGCCAGACACTAGGGACTGGAGAGTCATTGGTGACTCTAGACACAATCGCTGCTGTGGTCAGGGGAGTAGCTAGCTAGGCTGGTACATGTTATTAGAATATAATGAGACAAGAGTCAGGACAATGGGACACCCAGGGGGCTAGAGGAGCATAGGGAAGTCAGAGAATCAGGGAAGCCTTCTGGGAAGAGGTGGCATGTGAGCGTAGGGCTGATGCACACGTAGGAGACAGCCAGGCCATGTGAAGTGGGAAAGAGAACACTCCAGACAGAGTTTATAGCATGTGAAAAGACAAGAGGTCTCTCAACAGCTCCACAGTGCAGAAATTGTCATCCTCATCTGTCAGATCCTAAAACTGAGCTGAGAGAGGTAAAATCCCTTTCTGAGGTCACACAGCAAGGAAGTGGTAGGGCTGAGGGTTAAGCGGAGAGAATTCTCACCCCAGAGCCTGAGGAAACCTGATGGACTGGCCAACAGGAGGGACAGTGAGCACCAAGAAGCATCCCAGTTCCCACCAGGGCTGGGCGCAGACATAAGGGGGTGGCAGAAAGGCCACGGCCCCCTACCTCCACCCTGGCTAAGGGACTCCCACGGCCCCGCCCGGCAGGAAGGACGGTACCTCCATCAGGTCTATAAGCCACAGCAGCCGCTCCTGGGGAGGAAGGGTGGGCAAAAGGCAAAAAGAAAAATACATCGAATAAATATTAGGGATGGGGCGGGTGTAGCAGCCACCCCTCTGCCAAACATGCACGCATGCACACACACACAGAAAGGCAAAGTGAGCACGATTCTCCAAGATCCCTTTTCTGTTTCCTCTAGACGCTTGGGGCGAGCATAAAGGAGGGATGAAGTAAAGGTCCTGTTGCCACAACCAGCCGTCCTTCATGATGACTGCCTCCTTGAAGGAAAGCCTGGGACTTGCCAGCAGGCGAGGCTGGGATCATCACTCCCATTTGGCAGATGGAAAAATGGGAGGCCCGGGGAAGAGAAGTGACTTGTCCAAGGTCACACCTGCTAATGGAAGGCAGAGCCTGAAGGAGGACCTTGTTCAAAAGACTGGATCAGAGAAAACCTGCATTAAAGAGAGGCCCAAGCCTTGTGCCGACAGCGAAGCTCTGAGTCTGAGGGATGGAGCCCCAGGCTGTGCGTGTGAGGGTGCCAGAGGCAGGAAAAGAGTGAAGGAGGGTAGCAAAGCCTCAACCTAGTGCTTTCCAGAAGCCTCCAGGTGTCTGCAAGGCCCCGGCTGCAAATCCTCAAGGTGGTTTTCTCCAGCCAGGTTCGGGGAAGTCAGTGAGAGCAGAGGCTTCACCTGCCCTCGGGGTCTGGACGGTATTTCTGGGATGCTGGCACCAATAGGCAGGTTACTCCTCATTTAATTCTCCCAACAAGCTGGGCATAGCAGCACCGCTGCCCAAGTGCAGGTGGGGAAACTGAGGCACTGGCCAGTGAAGCATAGGGCCGAGACTGGTGGGGGCCAGCACTTCTCAGGTTTGGGGGAGATCCCTGGGCTGGGCAAGGTCACGGCAGGCCAGTGCTGGGCTGGACATAATCATTACCCTGACTGCCATCAGAACCTCGGGCAAAGACTTTGGGCCATTCTACTCACGGGGAAACTGAGGCCCAGAGAAGCCAGGGGTTAAACATAAAGGTCCTGCCTCCCAGGCTAAAACACACCCCATCCCCCCCACCGGATCTCTCATCCCCGATTCTAAAGGGACCTGCAGTCCCCCAGGTCTCAGAGCAGTGGCTCACGGCTCCTGCAGCCCCACATGGGCATTACCAAGGCCAATCTCAGTGGAGCCGGACCCAGAGAGAACTGGCCCCTCGGGCCAGGTCCCTGCAACCCAAGTCAGCTCACCACCTGCGTGCCACATCTGAGCACATGCACAGAGCCAAACACGCAGGCCCAGGTGGGCAACGCCCTCTTCCCTGCCCCAGAAGAGACCTGCTCGTCCCGAAGTGTCACATTACCTCTACCACAGCCAGAGCCCTAGAGGACTGCCTGGCCGCTGCCCGACCCCCCCGACTCCCGCCCCAAGGCGGGGACAAGGACTCCTGGGGAGGACGGTGACTCAGAATGGTAGGGGTGGAAGGCAGAGGCATAGAAGTGCCCCAGAAACTCAGATCCCCAGAGCTAAGAAGAAACCAAAGCAGACGGCAAAGGAAAGGGCACTGCCCCAGGGCTGTCTCCTGCTGGTCGCGACTATCTGTGCCCACTAACCACCGGCCTGCAACCGTGGACGTCGCCACAGCCCCGGAGCTCTGCTCCTCCAGCAGGACAACTGACTGCATCTGTCCCAAGTCTACTGAGATTCCACGTGTAAGATCGCCCAATTCAGCGTCTGGGAGCAGCAGGGCTTGACAAATGCGGCTCTCCCCCGCCCTTTCCACAGGAGAGTGGTGATGAGTGATCTAAAGACAGGAGAGGAGAGCGTGAGCCACGCCAGCTCTCCTGACCTCCAGCCCCGGCTCTTCCTGCCACACGGACGGGGTAACAGGTTCCCATACCAAGCAGCAAGGCATTTCCTTTGCTCCTTCCTTGCAAAGGTCCCCTGGGGTTAATGTGCCTCTGAGCATCTGAGGGGCAAAACCCAGGATGGACCGCATGGGGAGGCTGGGGAGGCTGGGAGAAAGTCCAGGTGGACTCCAAAGACAAGAGGGTGTGTCTCGGCTAAGAGCCCATCACGGTGACGCCCATGAAGGCAGGGCCATGGCTTCTGGTGGGATCCTGCCACGGAATGTTACTATGTTTTCTATTTGTCTCATTACCTGTATTTTTCACCTTTCTTCCTGAGCCTGCCCACCCCCCCACCCCCCCTCCCCCCCCTCCCCCCCCCATCCCCCTGGCAGACTGCGAGCCCAAGAGGCAGGGCCACATCCGTCTTGGTCACTAGCTGTCTCCTAGTGCCTTGCTGGGCACGCATCAGGCCTGCAACGCCGATGAGGTTTTTCCAAGGGAAGAACTGGAAGCTCAGAAAGGCGAGGGACAGAGCTGGTAAGGGGTGGGGCTGAGGTTCACGCCTAGATCCGTCTCACTGCAAAGCCACGATCTTGACGCCCCACCCCCTGGCCATCAAGCCAGGGATGGGGCAGGGGCAGCTCACCCTGGCCGAGCTCACGGTGGTGGAGGTGCCATGGCTGCCTGTCGATGAGCCCATGTCGCTGTAGGAGACCATGGAGTAGGTGTCCCCGGCCCTGGGGCCTGGGGGCTGCCGTGCCTTCATGGACTCGATCTCCCGCCTCAGCACCAGGTGGTCGAAGCGGTCCAGGTCTTGGGGGAAGATGGTGCCTCTCACCTCAGACAGGAGCGAGAACTGGGGATGGGGACAAACAGGGCACTCAGGGGGGAGACCCATCCCCTGCTACTCCAAATGACCTGCATGCAAACTTGACCGCTGGCCTCTCCCTCCTTAACCCCCTGTGGCTCCCCACTGTCCTAGGAGGAGTCCAAGCACCATGGCCTGGACGCTGGGCCAGCCTCATCTGACACCAGCTTCCCTCTCACCTCACTGGCATCTTAGCAAGCACGCACAACACGCCAGGAAGCCCGCGGCTGTCCCTCCCACCTGGAATGCCCTTCCCTACTTCTCTCCAAATCGCGTCTCGTCTGTTAAACCTCCCCACACGCAACCACTCCTCTGGGGGTTTAATCACGTCTTTCTTTATGCAGCTTCTGGACCCCAGACCTCCTCTAGAGCAGGGTTCTCAAAGCTGGCAGCACCTGGGGGCTTGGGGCAGGCTCCCATCCACAGATGTGTGTGGAGTTAACCAGCCTGGGGCGGGGCCCGGGCATCGCTTTTGAAGAGCAATCCAGATGATTCTAAATGCATGCTCAGCATCAACAGCTACTTCGTTAGGGCCCGCATCACAGGGGACTTTAACCGACTATTTCCCCAGCAGTCTGTGGGCTGCCTTCCCTGGGACAAGGGGCGCCACCTCGGTCACTAGTCTCTCCCCAGGGCCATTCCACCTGATTTCTTTGCCGGTTCTCAGGAAAGGAGTGGGGGACAGAGGGAGGCAGGGAGGAGGCAGAGCCCTCGGGAGCCGCTGCCTTGCCGGACGAGGGGCTCCGGTCACCTTGCCGTGGGTGTTGAGCAGCTCAAACAGGGCCATGGCCAGGGCCTCCACAGAGATGCTGCCGCCGCGGTATTCCTCCAGGTAGTAGGCCATGGTGGCGCACTCCTGCTCCGTCAGCAGGTGGCGCGCCTTCTCCTCCAGCAGCAGGCGTGTCTGGTTCCCCAGGCTGCTCAGCGTCACCTGGGAGCCCGCGGGCCCCTTGTAGAACCCCAGCTGAAAGACAGGAAGACAGGGGGCCGGGAATTCTGAACAGCTCTGGGGCCACGTGGCCGGGCCACGCCAGTGACCACAGTGCGGGGGTGGGGGTGGGGGTCCTCTGTGGCCTCGGCCTGCATGGTGCACCTGCAGGAGAGGTTATGGGTCCCTTCTCAGACTGTGCGGCCTCCTGCAGTTGCAAAGGGCTCCATGCCCTACACAGCACCGGTCCATGTCATCTCAGCTCTAATTGTTCAGAGTTGAGCGGTTTTATTATGGTTTCCAATTTATTCTCCGGGTTTCAGGATCTCCCTCGGTAAATCGGGGATAATGGTAACTTTACTTCTGAGATAGGGCGCAGATGTGCCTACAGCCCCTTCCCCTCTCTGCCACTGCCTCTGGCATCATCCGGAGCTGTGGCTAAGATGCCACCGGTGTCCCCTCTTATCCCCTCTGCCTCCCCCATCACCTACGCAGAGCTGCTGAAATGATCTTGTAAAAACAGACATCCCCTCGTCTTGCTCCCCTGCTTAAGCCCTTCCATGGTATCCCACTATTTTCAGTTAGAAGCCAAACCTCTTCGGCGGCCGACAAAGCCCCGTGTGATCCAGTGACCGGGCTTGTTGTCACTCTGTTCCCACCTCCTGTTCGCTCACCACACCCCCTCGTGCTCTCCTTGCCACCGCGGGGCTCTGGCACGGGCTGCGCCCTCCGACTAGACCATCCCGTCCTGCCCCTGCACCAGACGCCGATGTGGCTACTTCTATTTAACATTCAGTGCACAGCCCAAGCATCGTGTCACCAACTCAGAGAGCCTTCGCCCTCCCCTCTGCCTCTCACCCCGCCTAAATCAGATGTCCCATCTGTTCCTCTCTCTCATGCTACCCAGCACCTGGCCCGATGGCACTGAACATCTTCTGTGATTAGATATATGGGCAGGTTTTTTTTCTGTGTGTCTCCTTCACTTGGTATAATCTCCATGAGGGCAGGGATCTGATCGGTCTGTTCAGCGCCATCTTCCCTGGGCCCTGGGGTGTCGCCCAGAACCTGGTGGTGCTCACAGACATGTGCGGAAGGGAGGATGGACGGACAGTCAGCAGACTGCCCAAATGAAATGAGAGCATGCATGTGGATGGCTGCACACCCTGCCAGGCCTGGAGCACCCCACCCCCCAAGGGATGCATGAAGAAGCCAAAGATAGCCATGGATGGGGAGCGCCCTACCTTGTTTGTCCCTTCCGTGGGAAGATCCCCAGGAAACCTATGGAGAAAGACAACTGTGTTCAGCTGCCTGACTGAGCAGTTCGGATAGGCACGAGCAAGGAAGAGGCTGATTTGGAGCGGGAGGAGGGAGCCCTGGCCTCCACCCGCTGGGGCTGCTCAAGGGGATGTGACCCCCTGGACAGCCGAGCAGCTCTGGCCTCCCAATCGACCCTGTGGGCAGCGCTTCTCAGCCGAGCAAGGTGGACTCCTGACTCATTTCCAACCCTACAGGACCAGGCAGGTAACACAAGGACAGGAGACAACCCATGGCCTCAGGGTCAGGCCAACCCTAGGGAGGGGGGAAGACAGGGGCAAACTGGAGACCCAGAGAGGCAACTCACAGGTGCAGCTCAGTTCCAGTCTAATCTCATGAAAAAACATGCGCTCAAGCCACCAGAACTCCTTATTTTAAAGAAGCAGCCAGAAATCGAGTTGTTTTTTTTTTTTTCCATGGGAAACCTGATGCTTTTTAAAAAGTTGGTAGCTAACTAATTTATGATACTGCGCTGGCGAAAAGGAAGGGAGGCAGGAGAGGAGGAGGAAAGGAAGGGAGAGAGATGCTGTGAGTGGATCTGGCCTGGGAGGCCACAGCCAGGCTGAGACTCCTGTTGGAAATCCAAAGGCAACACGTGACACTATCAGCAACTATAGTCACTTTATGACTTCCAAGACCCTTTTCCTCAGGTAACTCACAGGGTCCTCATTCCCAGAGGTGGATGGAGGCAGGGGTGATGATCCCCACTTTTCAGACAAAGCAACTAAGGGCCCAAGATTAAGTTAAGTGATTTGCCCGAGATGATGCAGTTCGGCTTTCCATGGGAAACAGGCCAGGAGAGGAGAAGGGATGTGCCCAAGGTCATGCCCGCAACTGCAAAGGACCCTGGGATAGGGACCCCAGACTCTCAGGATTGTTACAGATCAGAGTGAGGAGTGCAATCAGACCCTGCCGAGTTCGTGCTGGTGTCCCCAATCCGGGAACTGGCAATCCACTTGGTCTCGTCCACAGTGGTGCGGGCGTGGGGCAGCCTCCCGACGTCCTTCACCGTCAGGATGAGGTGCTGCGAAGACTTGAGCAGCTTGACCGCCTCGTCGTGCAGGATGTTGAGAAAGCTCCGCCCATTCACCTCCAGAATCTGGTCCCCAACCTGCCGAGACCACCAAATGACACAGTCACCTGGGCTGCTTGCAGGACACCGACTCATGCCCGGGGCTTCAGAGCCCTGATCCCAGCCTGCTCAGGAGGTCACTGAGGCTCAGAGAGGTTATGTGGATGCCTGAGGGTCACACAGCAAGTCAATGGTAGAGCCAACCTTCCAATCCTAAACCTGAGCTCATGCTCCTGTTACTAAAAAGGGCCACCTCCCCTCAACCTAGCAGTGGTTTAGAGAGGTGTGTCTACAATAAGATTCCCCAAGGGTCCCCTTATCTAGGCTACAACAGCAATCCCAGAGGCCTGGTTAGGGGTGGCAGAGGCGGGAGGACGAGGTGAGAGACGTGAAGGCATGCTGCCATTATTTCCCTTTTACGCTTCTACAGGGTTGAAATTTTTACCTCAAGCATGCACGTATTTCCTTAAAATACAAATAACATATTAATTTACTCAAGAAAGAAGCAATAAGTGAGAAAACTAGCCTCCCATTAAAGCAATAACATATCGCCTGGATTCTTGCAACAAGTAGGCAGTTTTGTTATGTAAAAATATTTTTTTTTTTTTTTAGTGAAAGGATTAAAAAACAAAAGGAAAAAAGTAGCCTTCCCATAAAAATAAACCTGTGACAGAATCCAAGAGGCTAGAAGGACGATGCCTCAGAGTGGGATGGGGCCTCTGACAGACTCCCATTGCAGTTCCACTCGGAGGGTCCACTGCTTCTCTTCCTTGCTCTTCCTGGAGGGGGCGCTAAGCCCGCGGCGGGGAAGGGGCTGCCCAGGGCTGTTCCCCACCACGGCCTTGCAGGGCACCCTCAAAATGCCAATCGTCCCTGCCTGCTTTTCCTTCTCCCCAGCTTCCCAGCCTGCTGATGGCTCAGGATCAAGCCCCAGGGGGTTTTCCCAGCATTTTTCAAAGCAGAACTTGGAAAAGGTGAGCCACGGAGGAATTTGGAAGAAAGAGAAGATAAAAGAAGATGTGTTGATGAGATGGAGAATCAGAACCCTGGTCCCCACTTTCTCGTCTTTCCTTTAAGGCCTGGCCTGTAGGTGGGGGAGTTTCCAGGACAGAAAGCAGATGCAGACACAGACTTTGCGTCTCCCCTCTGCACCAGTTTGGATGTGCTCTGAGAAGTCCCGCGGCATCTTTGCCTCCATGAGCCCGTACAACATGGACTGCACACCTAGCAGGTGCCTCGCTCTGTGCCAGGATGCCATGCTGGGCGAGACAGCCCCACTCCGCTCTCATGCCTCCTGTACTCGAGAGTGGGCTCCAGTTTGCGCTGTAATTGGGTTTTCCCACACTGTGTCTCCAGGGCCTGGCACACAGTGGGAATTCAACAAAAATCCCTCACATGAATGAAAAGTCAGACACCTGTTCCTTGCACCAGGACCATCTCCGCTGCAGCCCACTGGGGACCAGAACATGACAACAGCCTGGGGCCCCAAATTTCAAGCCGCCTTTTACCGGACGCTGTGTGCCAAGTACCTTGTTCATTCCTTTACACATATTTTTTCCTTATTTGATATCCTCAACATCCCGCAAAGGAGGTATCCTTGCTCTCCACTCCACCAGAGAGAAAACAGAGGTTCAGAGAGGTTAATAGTTGGCGGTCACAGAGCCAGTGAAGAGGACAGCCAGGAGACAGACCCAGGTCAGCATGGCCCCAAGGCCCTCCTGCTTTCTCCTACTGAGCTGTCGTCAGGAGCTCTGCCTGGGGACACATGGCATTGCTTCAAACCCAGCATGTTCAAAGCCATCATCCTGCCATCGCTCCCTAGCCCTGCCCGCAGCACCCACATCTGAAAACTCGCCCCATCATCAACTCCGTCTTTATTCCCCGGGTAACACTTCAACAGGTCTCACCCAATCTTCTCCTCCCTCCACCCCCAGGGGCCCCCCAAACTGGGTCTCCTCCTCCTCACACGGAGGTTCCTGAGAGAGCATCTCCTCCTTGCATTAACTTCTAAACCGGCCTCAGACCTGGCACCTGATTAACTTTCCCTCAACTTCTTGTTTACATGACATCCTTTCCTGCTTCAAAACCTCAATGACACGCCCCGCCCCCAACAATCCAGGAGGTTAAGGGTTTCAAAGACATCAGACCTGGGTTCAAGTCCTGACTCTGCTACTTCTGTGCCATGTGAGCTCAAGTGAACCCCCCAAAAGCTTTTGTGCCTCAGTTTCCTCAGGTGTAAAAATAGGGTGCTGGCCCAGGATTGTCCTCCTCCAAATGTCTCCAGTCATCAGCATCTGTTTCCCAGTGCTACCAGCAATACCTACAATTCTGTCTCCTTCCGCCTCTTTGAGCCCCCTTGTTGAGAACCCAGGCTCCTGGGAACTTCGGCGGCCCCAGCTGGCCTCCTTGGGAAGAGCCTGAGACGAGCCCCAACCCCCTGGTTCTGGGCCTGGCACACAGCCAGGGCTCCATAAGTGCTTATGCATTAAGGTATGGATTTTGCCACTTCTCATCTTGCCTCGGCAGCCCCGTCCTGGCCTCTCTCCGGGTTGGCTTTCCCCGGTGTGGAGCAGCAGGGCCATGCATGACACAGGAGAACTTCCGTGGGCACGTGGGCCTCCCTGAGGGTGGAGGGTACCTCCTGCCGGGCCCCCTTGCACCCACGTCACGATACGGCCTCCACCCCTGCCCTCTGCCCGGCACAAGCCCGCTCCGCCACCCCCACCCCGCGGCCCCCACAGCTCCGGGTTGTAGCCCAGCCTGCACTCCCCGTCTGCTCAAGGGCTCCGCTTCCTTAAGTATCTCTCTCAAGAGCTCTGGCTTTTGTTAAGCTAAGGGAATCAATTTTAATCTACCCCACACACTTTATTTCCATCTCAGCAGTTTAATTAAAGGAACTAGCATCTGAGAGACCTGATCTGCCAGGGCATCGTTTTGGGCGTGAGCCTCTCCTCCAGGTCCTGGGGGCTGGGGAGGCGGGGGGAAGCCAGGGGATGGACAACCCAATTCCACCAGCAGCCACCTGGCCCTCCGGAGAGGCTTGGCAGAGAACATCTCAAATACCACACGGCACATGGGTACCCTAAAATAAGTATCCGTTGTTTATCTGGAACTTAAAAAGGACATCCTGTATTTTGATTGGCTAAATCTGACAACCCTGGGGTGCGGTGTCAGTAACCATGGGGGGCAATGGGGTTTGTTTTGGGGGGGGCACTGGTTTAGCACAGTGGTTTCCAAACTCCAGTTCCTCTCCCTGGGTCCGGAGCCGGGCACCTGTCATTTACGCAATCGCGTGAGTTACCCTTGCGCCACTTACTCCAGCCCCGTGCTCAGCAGTAACGGCCCTGAAGTCCCAAGGCTGCTGTGCTCCTCATAGTTTCCCTTCACGCCTGCTGCATAAATACATCTCTACTGCATTTGTGGGGGGCAGCGTGGGGCTCGTGTGCAGCCCACCTGCGGAACGGGCGTGCAATGGGAGTCATGCTTGGGAACCCCCCGAGTGGGGGTACGTGCGCCCGTCTTCTCAATCTCCTTCCAATCTTCTTCTGTCTTTCTTCTTCTTCCAGCGTCTGTTTTAAAACCCAGGGTCCAGGGACGCCTGGGTGGCTCAGTCGGTTAAGCGTCTGCCTTCGGCTCAGGTCATGATCCCAGGGTCCTGGGATCGAGTCCCGCATCGGGCTCCTTGTTCCGCGGGGAGCCTGCTTCTCTCTCTGCCTCTGCCTCTCTCTCTCTCTATCTCTCATGAATAAATAAATAAAATCTTTAAAAAAATAAAATAAAATAAAAAATAAAACCCAGGGTCCAGACACGGCTGGCTTCGGGCCCCCACGCAGCTGCCCACAGCATCAGGCTTGGTCTGAGATGCTCCCGCGTCTCCGAGTCCGGTCCTCTCCCCTGCTCGCCAGAACAGGGGTCTGAACGCTCACCGCCACTGAGAGTCCACAAGCCCCTTCAAACAAGCCCGGCATCTCCCCGGCTGCTCAGAGCCCCGTGTGGCCCGCGGGGTTGTGGAGTCCCGTCCCTACAGTGCAGCAGCAAAGAAGCCCCCCGGTTCCAAAGCCAGGCAACCGTAAAATAGTAGTGGTGTGGCCCTGCACTGCTCTTGAGCACACTCTGGGTCTCAGTGTTGTCTCTGCAAAATGGGCTCGATGCTACCAACAGGGCCCAGGAGGCCACGAGAATCCAACAGGACCACCGGCACATGAGAGGCTTCTGACAGCTTTTCATTCGCTTCCCTTCCAAACGGAGGGGACTGGTTCTGAGATGTCAAGCGACTCGCTCAAGGTCACACAGGATGGGAAAAACAGAGCCAGCATTTGAGCCCAGCTGTTTGCACAACCTTCCCGCTGTTGCCACCTTTATCCGGGCATGTGCTGGCTCACAGGAGACATTCAGTAAATGGTGAAGGCAAGGGAGACACCCATCCTCCCCACCTCCCACCTGCCCCCTTCCCCGGGTCTGGGCAATGTGCAGCTGGAGGTGGCAATGTTCACAGGCCTTGATTGGGCTCTTTCCCCCAAGACGAAGAGTTCGATGTGTTTGTTCCTTTCTCTGAAGCTAGCCCTGAGTTAGACGATGTGGGTAAACAAGGCAACAAGTAGGAAGGCAATGAAGCTATGACCGCCAGGGTCTTCCCTAGTCTCCTACAGATGGGGATACTGAGGCCCAGGCTGCACGGGGACGTGTCTAGGGCCACAGAGCAAGGCCACGGCAAAGCCCAGCCTCTGAGGCTAGCTGAGCAAGAAGACAGCCACGCCACCCAGAGCTCACAGGACACGACCCCCTGGAGAAAGGAGAGACAGACGCAGCGTGATCGAGTGTCTGATGGTGCTCAGCTTGCAAACAGGATGCCGGTGGGGAGGACACAGAAGGATAAACGAATAAAGGTGGCTTTATTTTATTTGTCACCACGGGCACCCTATTTATTACCAGCGATGGAGGAGCTGGGGGCGGACCACAGGAACGCCCTTTACTTTAAGGGAGAGGAAAGACTCCTCCATCATCCACAGCCCATCAAGTGACAGACTCAGATGTGGGAC